AAGCTTTCGGAACTTCAGCAGTTCTGCGAGGGCGGCACACGCGAAATTTTATCGCCCCCTGAAGAAAAAGGACACCTACAGGGTTGCAGTGCTTCGTTTTACGCAAGCAGCTGGCTTTAATGATCCACAGGTCTTCCTGAAATCCCAGATCCCTCTTGCGTCTTTCTTTCAATCCCTTACTGTTCAAAAAAGACCGGAAGTCGAAGGTGGACTTTTGCTGGCCCACAAGCGCTTTGTTTGTATACATATGAATTGTTTTTTCCAGGACATTGCTGACAACACTGACAATGTACAACCTTCTTGACTCTTGACACTTCTTGACCCTTGAAAACTCTACACAAGTGGCTTTGCAGTCAGGTGCCCGTCGTGCTTGTGGTTTGACAGCTAAAAAGGTGATACCTCTAGTGACTCTAGTGATGAGTATCCGATCGTTTCGCGCTTCCCAAGGCGTCACAAATGTTCTTTTTGTCCAGGAACCGACTTGAGGCGCGTTTTCAGACTATTCGCGGTGATTCTATAGGGGGCCGACTGTCTCTTTGATGCTCCGATCGGTCAGCCAGGAGGTGGTGCTTCTGACTTCACCCGAGGCACGATCAAGTCTGTTCGCGTGAAGAACAAACGAGTCCGTTTGGCCCGACCGAACTGGCAAAAAGACCTGGTGGGTTCATCTTTCGCTTCCTGGTGGGTTCAAGGTGGATGTTTAGTAGAAAAGGAAGAGAAGAAAGCAGAGAATCCCGGTTTCTAAAGATCCCGGAAAACAGGATGTGGCAGTCAAGTTGGGGTGTCTGCAATGCTTCGCACATCCACCATGGCTCTTCCTAAGAAGCTCTGATCGTCGCACATCTTGAGATCTGAGCGCTGGAACAAGCCCTCTGGCCCAGGTACGTTGAACCTACTTCTGGGATCCTAAAGGGCAAGAGCAGCCCACAAAAACCAGTAATAAAGTGTTTGTACTACAAAGATCAATAGGCTCTGCCTCGAACATTGGACTTTTTTCGGCAAATGCACCTCAAAAAGGGTTCGGAGAAGTCGATGAACACTGTTGGTGAAGGAGGTCCTTGATTTCGTGACATACCTTGACCCAAAACAACACCCGAGTGAAAATGCCTGGACCCAAAAGAGATGAACTTGGATGCCGAGTGTTTTCCTCGACCGCCGTTGGATGCCACCAGGTGCCAAAGAAAGAGGCAGAAGCTAATGTAGACTCTTGATTGATAAACCTTCCATATGAAGAGGCTTCCTTTTTCAATCCAAATGGAGGGGGAATTCTGCGCTTTCCACCTTTGCACGCACCGAACAGCGCAGGCCGCGAGGGTCTTTGGTGAGGCTTGGCGAGCAGCCAGGCAGGGCGAAGGGTCGTTTTTCGCCATGGCTCGAAGCGGTGTGGGAAGTGGTTCAGTCCCTGATCGAGTTCATCACCGGTGATTTGGTCACACGTGTTTAAATTGATCGGTCCAGCAGTTCCTGGACAAGCTCCTTGGTTCCGGTTCTTGTTCCAATGCAAAGCGTGAGTTCGGATCGATTGAAGAGTTCAGCAAGGTATGACAGACCTTGAGAATGTTCTGTTCATGGTGCGCACCATTGACTTCTTGAAATCCTGGTAGCGCTCATTCTACACGACGAACTCGAACTTCTTCTTCTTCTTCTTCTCCTCCTCCTCCTCCTCCTCCTCCTTCTTCTTCTTCTTTGCAAATATATGCTACTTCCTCTGCTCCGAAAACCCCCCCACCGCGTGGCACCGCAGATCTTCAGGTCACCCACCTGCCGCGTGGCCTCCGTCCGGGGTCCCGCCCAACGCCCAACGCCCGGACCGAGCGCTTTCCCCACCAAGTGCTGAATTGACGCAGCGGAGCGTGAAGGGAACGTTTTCCGGACGCAGCGAAGAAGTTCTGGGGGGGGGGGGCCAAAGTGACACAGTGAGCGAAGAAAGTCTCGTGAATCCTAGTTTTGTTTTGTATATTTTTTGGTAGCCGGACAAGACCCCTTCAATTTTGTGCTTTCCTGGGGCCAAATCTTGAGACACATTTCTACATGCTTTCAGCGGCGGGCTCATGTTCCGTACCGTATCCCTGAGACGGTTTGTTTTTTGTGGATAGCCAGTCGGGCCTTCGGGTTTCATGCTCTGCCTCACAGCCGCCCGGTGGGATCGTTTGGCTACGTGGATCGCCCGTCGCGGACTTCGCCTGACAGTTGAAGCGGCCAGGCCGTGTGTTGGTGGGGTTGGGACACCCTGAGTATCAAGGTCGGGAGCGGAACGCACTGCGCGGATCGAACGGCTTCGTCTGGAGGATCTTGGCCAATGGCTGGCAGTCAGAAAGGCAGTGTGATCCATCGGGGGGGGGTGGAAGCTCCATGGGGGAAGGCGGAAGCTGTGAGCTCCAAGTGCGGATCGGTTGTGACTGACGACGTCAGGTTTCCCAGACCTAGCAAAACCCGAGTAGGAACGGCACGTCCCCAGCTTTCGAAGCTCGTTCAAGGTTGGCAAAGGAACCAGCGTGGGGATCCCAGTGACCGGGGAGGCCGACCATGGATGTATGTTGAGGCTTTTGACATCTTTTGACCCTATTGGGGAAGCGAGAAGAAACCTGGTGTAGTCTATCACTTTGGTGTAGTCTACCCATTTTGGAGTGACACCAAAAGCTGGTGGTGCATTTTGGAGAGACTACCCAAGACATCCAAAATCCAGGCTTCCAGGCGAAAGTTACTCAGGCACCAAAGAGAAAGTTGTATTTATCAAGTTTTTTGTTCAGTCTAGGTGTGTTGAGTTGGATTTTGAGTGATGCTGGTCGTTCAAGAGAATCCAGAATGCACTTCCAGCATTCGTGAAAGATACACTCCCTGAGACCATCATGGAAGTGGAACATGGCCCGGATAGGATGACCATGTTCCGAACACCAAACTCCATGGTATCAATCGCATTGTAGGTAGTCATAGTTTGATGTATACCATCATTATTTTCAGCAACACTCCCGGTCAATCATAAATAACAATACCACATGAGTCCTGAGTGGGAGTGTGATCACGAGGTTGCCGACCTTTCGACCTCGCCGAGGTGGCCGCTGCAGCGTTCGGCTTGGAGGTGATCTTCGAGCCGAGCAAGGCCAACGCGGAGACTTTGGTGCCTCGGCATCCCAAGTGATGGACGGCCCCTGCGTGAGCCATGCGGATGGTTTGTCACTTGTTCGTCGGAACCTGAGGGCGGTGAGCCAGGCCTCAACATCTCTAAAGTAGAACAGGCTGCGGGTGAGGTCAAGCTCGAAGTGAATGCCAAGACCAAAGACCGGAAGAGTTTCGGTCGGAATCCACGGCCTTCTCTGATCTTCTGAGAGATACATGTTCGATAACCACTCGGGCGATTTCCAGTCCTTTGTACAAAAGAAGTTGGTGGATTGCATTAAACTTGGGCCAACTTCCAGGAGTCACAAAGGGGTGCCTATTGGAGGTTAGGGGTGCCCATTATCCACTCACTTAGGGACCAAACACCACCCCTTTGTGACCCCTGGTTGGTGTTCGATTCTCCTCATTTTCCCTGGCCCCGCACCGCTGAGCTCGGCAGCTCTCAGACCGTACCGTCTCCAGGCGGTGGAGCTGCCCAGCGCTCTGGGGCCCAAACTCTGGCCGGGAGCCTCACGTAGAAAGAGGCCCAACTCTGCTGAGGCTTTCAGGTCGAACATCAACAGCCATGTTTTTGCTTTGGAGATGGAGCAGCATGGTCTTGGTTTGGCTTCCACATGGATTTCCCCCATGTTTGCCGATGTTTTGGGGGGTGAAACTGTCTGGCGTTGGACGCAGCGGGTCCTTACTCCGACTTCGTTGTTCGTTCGGTCCTTTTTTTTGGAACCGAGCTTGGGGAGCATGACCCGAAACATGGGGAGCATGAGACCTTCAGACGGAGAGAATTTGGACTAGGGTGAAGAGGATTTGAGACCTCCAGCGAGGCAACACCTCGGTGTATGTGAGACGGTCAGCAGCATCTTGACGTCTCTCAAGATCGAAGCATCTTCTAATGCACAGCCCCGATTCCAACGCGCACCAACTGCGTCTGAAGGAGAGCTCCACCATTCGGAGAGCTCCCGTCATTTCCAACAAAACCTCCAAAGTCAACAGCACGGGATCTTAGAATGTTTGGCCAGGGTGCCATGAGTTTGGATGTGAAGGGTGTGAGCTGATGCCATGAGCTGACGCCATGAACTTGGTGCTCTAAGACGATGTCCAAGCTTTTGCAATTGTTGTCCGGTGCTGGCAGGAGGCGTTTTCCGGGCCGGCCCGGTGACCGGGTTGTTGGAAACCCGGCTGCCGGCCGTGATCAGGTGATCAGGTGATCAGTCCAAAATCCATCAAGTATAACTCCAGATGCTTGCTCATACCAATATGACCAATGTGTTGTTTTGGTGGTTCGGAACCCACTGCCCACCCCTCCCCCAAAAGGAATGGCTCACCTGCCAGCACACCTTCCGGTCGAAAAGCTCCACTTCCGCCCGCTCCACCGCGCTCTTGGAAGCTCAAACCCGTCCCCGAACGGTCTTTCCCGGTCTTTTCCCTGCACGTTTCCAGCGAGCTCAACCTGCTATTGTGGGATCCTAAGCTGTGCGAAACATCTCGGTCAGTGTATCTTTCCCCCTCAAAAAAGCAGCGAGTCATCATCAGCCAACTGATGTTTTCTTCACACGGTTATCACCGCCCTTTCTGAAAGCCTTCGCATCATAGATATCAAAGAAAAGCCAGGTTGGAGAAATGCACTTGGACTTATGAAATGAAAACCCGAAGACCGAAAATGTCGTCCGGTGTAGCCAAACAACTTTTTTCCTCCAACACGCCAGTGGCACTTGCATCTTCAAGTTTTCCTGTACAGGATTGGATGTTTACTTAGAGGATCTTGATTCACGACTTTTCTTTGCCTTGCTCGTTCGATGATTTTTTTCGCGGAGAAGTTTCGCTGCGTGGCCTTGCGCCATGATCATGCTTGCTTCGGAGCTCATCCGAGGCCAACCTCTTAAACGATGTCCATGTCCTTGGAGTACAAGTTCACCTTCATCAACGTGTTGGAGGATTGGAACGATGCAACTTCTCTTGGTGATGGGGCGAGGTTTGTCCCTTGCGATGACGTCAAAACGAAGATATGGCCAAGTGGGAAAGCTCTTTTGGGTGGACTCTTCTGTCCAGCCTCGGGGTTTTAAGCATGCAGGAGGTGGACGAGGAGCGCTCATTAGCCACCTTCAGACGATCCAGCAGCCTGCCACCTCGCCGCTGGGCGGAGTTAAAGGGTGGTTCCTCTCATCACCGCATTTGGGCACTGCTGGGGCGCTAGGAGCTTATCCATGCCGAAGCGAGGGTGTGGCTGGCGTCTGCATCGTTTTGAAGCGTTTTTGAGCCATGAGGCGCCCAGTTCCCTGAGGGGCTGCGGGTGCCGGGGTGAGTCAGGCTGGTGCCTGGACATGGCTTCAGTCCATGGGACCTCGGGACAGGTAGGAGTTCGATTCTCCCTCTCCGGCGTTTTTCCTTTTGTTTGGTTTTCTTGTTCTTGTCGTCCTGCCTGCGTTTCTATTTTTGTTGAGCCCTGAAGCGTGGCCCCTGCATGTCTGTCACCGATCGTCCCCCAATCAGTGCATGTTTCCCCTGCGACACGTTGGCAAGGGCCCAAACCTGAGATGTGCAGCGAGATCCTCAGCACTGAAGAGCAGGCGCGAGGAGGTGACCGGCGCGAGGTGATGGTGCATGGTGGATATTTTTGCCCCGCTTGGAGGTGGTGAACATGTGTTGGATTGGCACCTTTTGGACTGGCATATGAGCCACGGTCAAAACATGCGAAGACCACTTTAGTAAAGAGGGGTAGGTTTGTGCACAAAACCCTGCAAAACGATAAGGTCCACCTCAAAACCGATAACCCCAGCGCTGTATATGGTCATAAGTATGCGACGAACTCAAAACGCTGTAAAACGATAAGGTCCACCTCAAAACCGATGACGTCCATTTTTTAGCTGAAGAAGAATAAGGAGTTTTGACCGTCCCTCATATGTCTATTGTTGACTTGATTCCTTCATCAAGTCGCCAGAAAGGAGTCTGATTGCCATGTTTGGAAGCACCCTCTCGGTGCCATGCACAGTGCGTCGTGCCGGACGGGATGTGTCGGAGGATGGACGCTATGTGCAGACCCTGACCGAGAAGCTCCCCGGAATTTTCGGCGCTAAGGCCCAGCGCCCCTATGTGCCCAGCAAAGTCATGTCATGTCATGTCGTGCAGCGAAGAAAAGGGTCAAATTTAGATGTTTTTCAATGTTTTTCCTGTCCATCCGCTGAAGAAACATGTCATGTCACGA